TGCCAGTCAGCCAGTTCTCAATCCACCTCATAAAAACCCTTAATGGGCTACTCCATGGGTCACAGCATGGAGTACACCTGGATCAGAAGAGGAAAATTCAGTAACTGGGGGCTCTCATAGCCACATTGGCCAGGGACCAGCATTAGAAGGGCCACTGTCTGGCTCTGGTCAGCAAAGCTTTGTTTCCCAGAGGTGTGTCCACCCTTTCCAGAGCAGGGTCCTGGCTGGATAAGAATGGAAGGCTGCAAGGACCATCATGCTGCAAAACTTCCATTGTGTGACACAAGTGAACCAAGGGCTCTGCAGTGCCAATGCTGCCGTGCTAAAGCCGAGATACAGAGTTAAATCCTGTGAATACCTGAGAGCATTATGTTTTTCAGGCAGTTTTTGTGATAATATTTTCAGTGTAATCAGTGAGTGTTTCTCCTTAGGGGTGGCCACAGTTGAGTAATAGATTCATTGATGTCCTCTTTAGAGCTTATACTTAAATTTACGACCACATCCTATTTTGGTGTATCTATTGCTATCCCAGCTGAAAAGTAGATGTCACTTAATCCATGAATACTTAGTCCATGTCCCTGCCATGAATACTCTTCAGGTTATACTGCAAACAGCCAGGCTGGAGTGAAAAGATGTGTTTAGTGGTGAAGACTCATAATGAAGTTTGTTTGGAAGTTTATCCTTTTGTGTTGATTAAATATTGACTTGTTCCTGCCAGCAAGGCTGTTTTAACAACTTTAAAAAACCCCACATAGCTGCTGTGAAAGCATCTACACATGCTTCCCCACTGACTCAGCTGGACTTGAAGCATACACTAGGAGTGCCAAAATAGCCAGGCTCTGGTCTAGCTCACTGCTTTTTGATATCTTCTGGACAGAAAATGGTTGTTACATACACTGGGGCCAAACCATGTGTTTTTGATGTTGACTCACATCCTCTTAGGGATTGGCTATGCGCACTGGCCTAATTTCTGTTTCACCTTTTAACTGAAACAGGGTCCTGGTCCAGAGTGACCTTGGCTTTCTTCATCCACAGCTCCAAATCTTAACGGCCCTTTGAAAATATTTTTTTTACCCGCATGCAAATATTAGTGTGGGTAAATTTTAAAGGAAGACAGTACTAGAAACAAGACCTCCCATATGTTGTGTGGCATGCTGCATCTCGAGTTTTGTGTGGTTTCTAGGAGATCTGTCGTTTAGATGACTTTGACAGTGCTTGACAGGAGTGATGTGGAACGTGGCTTCTAATTAAGAAGTTTAAGCAAATCTGTGCAGTAGGATCCAGCAATGCCCCAATTCCAAGTGCTGAACTGCTTACTTGATTTTTTTAAAAAATGCTGGCTGTGTGTCAGGTATGTTTCCCCTAGTTTTCCAGCTTTCTGCTTTTCTTCCTTCCAGCAAGGTCAGAGATCAACCTAGGACTGTCCACAGACCCCTAATATACTGGGACAATGCATCCCACTGGATGACCATGAAAGGTGACTTTTTGTTCCTGATCCTAGAACTACTCTGTCCTGGATCTGGAATGGATGTTGTAGTCCTCCAAAAAGGTACTTGTACCATCACCAGAGGTAGCAGAACTTGAGTTCACCCTGTTCTTTCCTAAGGAGACACAAAACCACACCTCTCACTTCCAGAAGCATACCCCAGTTCCCAGTCATAGTGTTTGCTGGACTGGATCCTTCAGAGGCTTTCTTGCTAAACATAGCTTTGTATAAAGTTCATAAAATCTGAAAGTCTTAACCACAAAAGTGAAAACTCATTCCCATAAACTGTCTCTCTGGCAGACAGAAATTAATTTTCCTGTGCAAAACAGAACAATTTTGACTGCAGATATTGAGAGATGTCCTTCTCATGAGAACTTTGCCATAGGGAGCAGCTGGACAAGTACAAGGGTTCTTGTCTCCCTGGGCACAGAAGCAGCCAGGAGGCCAGGTCTCCTCTCATCATGGCAAAAAGCTCTCCTCCCTGTGGGCTAAAAAATGCTGAGGGTATCAGGGGAACATCTCTTCCAGCTCTCTCTGTGTGAAGGCACAATAAGTGGGCTCCCTCTAAGGATGCCAAATAGATCAAGTCCCACTAGGAAGATAGTTGGGAAAAAATTAGGCTACGGACCATGACAGGGCTTAGCTATGAGGCAAGAGTGAGCTGCTTCATTTGGCTTTGCAAGAACAAGTGACCACAGCAAAAGGTATTGATGGTGTTAGTTTTCCAGGAATGAGTTTTGAACATGGGCACCTAACAGTGGAAGTTAGACACTGAAAATTTTCCATGAATTAAGGCCATTGATTTCCATCAACTCTTGCAGCAAACGACTTGACCAACAAACAGTGTGACCCCCAGATCCCTCCTTGAGGGTCAGTGTGAGCCTGCTCAGCATCACAGACTGTGGCTGGACAAACAGACACTCAAAAGCACAGATTCTTTTTTAGCCTATTTGCTACCATTTGTTTGAAAACCACAATTTCCATCATACACGAAATTCTGTCAGTTCTATAGTTATCTTCATACTGATTCAGAAGGAAAACATGACATTATGAGATTTTTGTCATAAAGAGTATCTCAGACCTCATGGTATTTCATTTTAGTGAAGCAGATTTCTTTTTTCTTAATATAAATTACATTGAGTGAATTACATTGAATTACATGAAAGGCAACAAGTGAATATAGCAAATTGTGTTTTGACACAATGAAATTAAATGAGCACCCTGGGTGAAATAATTACAGCCTGTCAACATGCATTGCTGCGAATATTCCTGCAGAACATTTCCATTTCAGAGAAACAGAATGTTTGAGGGAGATGTCAGTAGAAAAGGCATTACACCGGCACCCCTGCACCTGGCTCTCCAAATCCTGTGCTGGGTCCCTGGGTTATTTCAGTCCTACCCACGTGCCAAAGGAGGCCACACAGAGAAGCAATTAAAGACCAGGGGAAGTTTTAAAGTGCATTGTGTTTTACTTGTAAGGACACAGGTGAAAACAAACAAACAAACAAACAAACAAACAAACAAACCCCATTGAGGCTGAGGGTTATTAAAAAAAAAAAAGAAATCAAAGCTAATATATCTGCTAGTGACGTTTTTGTTTAGTCACACACCTTCTATTTGGCAAGAATCCCGCATCAGCACCCTATTAATGCAAAATCATGTTCTCCTACATTCCCACATCTGCAGGATGTCTTGCACTTGCGTACACTAAAGGTGGATCAAGTCCAAAATCCTGTGCATTTGGAATGAATGAAAAGCTGAGGCCAGTGCAGATTGCCAAGAAACCTGGGCTCAGACTGGGATGGGTGTCTGCCAGACTCTCTTACCATGAGCTTGGTAACACATAGCCACAAGCTTGGTTAGCAGTGTGCTTACAAGCAATGCAGGCATGTAAGGACAAGATGCTATTCCTAGATAATTTTAAAATACGTTGCCATCATCTTTATGGGCACAAAAACTATATGGTAGTGACAGCTCCAAACACTTAAATTTAACCTCAGTTGTCATACACCATGCAGGTCTGGTAAAGACATGACTGATCGATGTTCATACCTTCTGCTTCAGTTGTAAAACCGTCTGCTTTATTTGATGAAATTCCTTACAAGAGGCACAGCACGTCCCCGATTTTGCCACATTTTCAGATTTCTCAGGAAGCCCAGCTGAAAGAAAGCAGTTTCCAATACAAATATAAAAACTCAAAGCAAATAAATTCATAAAGTGATTGCAAAAGCAACTTGAAGGTTGTTACATTTCCCCAAACTCTGAGAAGAGGAGAGAATATTGCCATTATTAATGCTTTGACTGTGAATTGCTATGTAAGGCTGAGAAGCTTTGCAGGGACAGCTCTGAGCTCATTTTTAAAGCAGCTGTTTCCAGTTAACAGTCCCCAAAGAATTTATTTTTTTAATACCTGGAAAAGTTTACACCCCTTCTTTTATCTTTGTGTTTAGGGTAGACTAACTCTATAGATCTGAACTGATTTACAGGGGCCTGAAGGGCAAATTTTCATATGCTATAAATTACACTAAAATCTCTCACAATATGGTCATTTAATTCACTTTGCACAAACTGTTCTTTATCATCATTGGTTATTCCTCCATGTGATGGAATCAGCCTGAGCAGAGATGGGGATTGAGATTAATGACAGGGATTTAAAAATCCACACAAGAGAAGAGGTCACACCTGTTGATATTATGCATGAATGAGATATTTTCAGGAATCTGTTAAATCATTCAAACTGAAATATTGCAAATGTTATTTTTTGTCCTTTTCCCATTCTCATATGCAGTGAAGCACTTCTAAATTATAAACAAACACTAATTTAATAGATGCCAGCTTAAAGAGAAATGCGGCTTCCAAAACACAACGTGACACATAATGGAAAACTCTAGGTGAGTTTTTTTCTTTCACATATAGTTGTTGAGAAGAATCAAGTGTATTGTGGCCCAACATATGATGTGTGGCCTTGTTATGATGTTATCTGGAAGGGTTATTGGATGTCTTCGAACACTGACCATTCTGATCATGTCCCATAATGGAAAAACTCTGCAGGTGCTCCTGGTTAAAGTAAAAATCTTCAAAAAAGGACTAACTGTGATGCACTTAGCGATTGTATTATAGTTCTCACTTGGACACACACTTTAATGTCCTTCATCTTTTCAGAAATGTGTATTGATTTTGAAAGCATCTGCATAATTTTAAAGAAAACCAGAACTTTCTAATACTAAAGATATTATATGGTACTTGACTTTAAATGTTTGCAGGGTCCAATAAGGAATGTTGTGCCCATCACACAGTCATCTATGGACCACTATTGCACAAATTTTTAATACATTTAGTTCATTGGATATAATGCCATGTCATGTACGCTTGCTTTTAGAATACAATCCAGGAGTGCTGCACAGGCTGAGATCTATCTGGCTGGGGAACAGCTCTGTGGAAAGGGACCTGTGGGTCCTGGTGAACAACAACCTCAATATGGGCGAACAGTGTGCTGCTGTGGCAAAGGAAGCCAATAGGATGCTGGGTTGCACCAGTGAGGGCATCACCAGCAGAGACAAAGGAGTCATTATCCCACTCAGCACTTGTCAGGCCAAACCTGGAACACTGTGTCCAGCTTTGGTGCCCACTCTACAAAAAACATGTGGACAGGCTGGAGAGGGTTCAAAGAAGGGCCATAAAGATGACCAAAGGACTGGGAAGCCTGTCATATGAAGAAAGGCTGAGAGAATTGGGTTTGTTCAGCCTTGAGAAAAGGAGGCTTAGGGGAGACCTTGTCACCACGTTCCAGTATTTAAAGGGTGGCTACAAAGAAGATGGAGACTTCCTTTTTACAAGGTGTCACATGGAAAAGATGAGACTTAACGGGTACAAGTTATTCCTGGGGAGATTCCAATTGGACACAAATAGAAAATTTTTCACAAACAGAGCAATCAGCCATGGCAATAATCTCCACATGGAAGTGGTGGATTCCCCAACATTGGACACTTTTAAGATATGGCTGGACAGGGTGCTGGGCCATATTGTCTAGACTGTGTGCCTTTGCCAAGAAAGGTTGGACCAGATGATCCTTGAGGTCCTCCCAACCTGGTATTCTATGATTATATGATTCAATGAAAGGTTTATTTCTCTTATCTCCTAATCGGGTAGGTGAGGGCTGCAAAGGCAAGATTCTGGAATGCCCAGCAGCAGTAAGACATTGGTAATAGTGCTAAACTGATCAGAAGATTAGGAGGCAAAGGCTTGGGGGTTTTCCCCACTTATCAGCTGCCTGCTCCCACAGCTGCAGTTCTTTGGCTTTACAGTAACCCATGATATTCCTCCTTATTGTATTTAGCATTTTTATGTCAGTAAGCAAGCTGCTTCCCCAGCCCTTTCTGATGATAGCATGCAGCTTGGTAATACCTGAACAGCTTTCTGTACAGTGTTCAGATGGCTCAAAGATTTAAGGCCAAAAGGTACTCCTTGGGGTTTTCCAATGAACTCTACATAACATATACTAGAATTTCACCAAATTGCAGCTATCCTGGCTCCAAGACTATTTGGCCACACAACGCCCCCGAAGGGACTCCAGCCTTTGTGTGAAGATACCTGAATATGCAGCATCTGCTGGTTTCCTCAGTGCTGCATTTCTAATGCTAATCATTTTGCCTTTGACTTCTTCCAAAGCCCCTTTGCCCATAAGTCTTTCTCTGATAGATCAAAGAATCTGCAGGACACAGGGGTTTTATCCCTTAACAAGGAATTGATATGCTGTAATCAAGATATCTCTTGATATTTCTATAAGTTTTCTCTTGACCACAAGTCGGTATTGTGGCTCCCTCATGGAATTCTTCCTCCCCCTCCAATTTTTCAGCTTCCTTTAAAAAAAAAAATCAGTATTTTGACATGTCCATTTTTGGGCCTGTGTAGGACTTGGAGTCCAATAAAGTTTGGATTTGATACTAGTCTTAACCAAAATTTCTTTTAATAGCTATCTCACCAAATGAATTCCCTCATATTGTGTTAAGAACTGTTGCTGAAAGCAACATAGGGTCAAAGGAGAAACTGCCAGAGCCTCTGCTATTTGAAACCTAATGCAATCCCACCAGAATCAGTGGAATTACATGCAGATTAAGAAGCAGTGAATTTGGCCTCGTGTTTCGTTATAAAATCCAGTTTATCTTTCAGAAGGATGTGGCACACGGGGCTGACAAGTGTAGATAAAACAGAGATGTAACAATCCATGGAGATGAATGTGGGGGGTGGGGGGGTCAGCTAATGTTTGGGAAATATCATACCAGTGAGACTTCTGCAAATCCAGTTGGATTGACTTGTTGGAGGAAGAAGTTCAACAGCATCACATAAGCAAGCATGAGCTGTGTCCCAGGAGAGAGGTGGAATCCCCCTAACTCATACCAGACAGAGGTGATGATTTGCCCAGGGAAGGAGTCATCCATCAAACATTCGCTCTACCCCCATCCTATACTTTATCAGCACCAAACTATGAATAAAGTCAGAATAAAGCATGGATAAAGCCAGAAGCCACATAGGACAGGCCAGAGGGGGGAGGAAGCAATTAGATGGAGCCACCCACGTGTGGTGCAGATACGAAGGTCTCCTACCAGGGTCAGTTTGGCCAGCACTGAACAAGGCACTTACACAGCCCATTTCCATTGCACAGACCTACACCAGGAAACTAAAATGAGTTCACACAAGGTGTAAATGAGCCCCATTTTATGAAGGCTTTCCAAAGCATGAAGTCTAGCTCATGCGTGACGTTGGTGTCCTGATGGGGGTCCTTTTATCTCAGTGAGACACCAGTGAGCCCCGCAGTGCCTATCGATAAGAGATCTGCTTGGCGGAACGATGTGTTTTCTTTGCATGAGCTCGAAGACTCTGTCTTGCTGATGCTGGAAGAGAAGGAGATGCTGGTGGGGGAGAGCTCTGCGGGAAGCTGTGCCGCAGGCGTTCTTCGCATGGAGACGGTTGAGTTGATCATCTGTGTTGTATTATCTGGGCTCAGCCTGCTGAGATGGTTTCATTTGCCTACTTCAGCATGGGTAGCTGTATTGTCTCTGTCAAATGTAACATGATTGTGTATGCAGGAAAAATGCTCCCTATTCTTGTTCCTCACTCACATACCAAAAACTCTCAGTTAAGCCCACTTATAGAGCTAAAAAAGTGCCTGGATTGCAACCTTCAGGCATGGCACGATGAAAACATGAATAATGATGCCCTGGGAAACATCCAACATGGTTAACGCTGGAGAGGGGTGGTGCGTTGTCTTTTGTTAACATGTCTTTTCATGCCTCTCACACTAAATTTTAAAATCAAATTTAAGTGTTCCAGCTACCAGGAAAGCAAAATAATAGGAATCAATTCCAGCTTGGATGCGGTGCTCTCTGGGACAGTGCAGGGCTGGGGCTGACCACGGGGTGGTGCGTTGCTACAGCCAGTTCCTCACGGTTGCTGAAAAAAACCGATTTTCTTTGGGATGAGTTATGGACACAGATCCTGTGAAACAGCAGTGGCCAACTCCTCTTTCATTTGCACCAGAGGTCTGGCAATTAGTAACATTAACTTGGAGGACAGCGGGTAACAGAGCAGAAAGTGTCCTTCTCTGCTTCACACAGCTGATGTGGGAAACGCTTTGAGAAATGGTGGGTGTTTCATTCCAGATTAACTACTGGCATGGACATTTTTATGTGTTGTGTACATTCAGTGTAAAATTGGTGTTTTTCAAGTATTAGAATTATTTTCACAGCCTTGAATATTTTGAATGGTTGATTATCCTAAATGCTTTGGGCATTACCCTGTCAGGAAATTTAACCTAGCCAAAGGAAAAGTTAATTAAAAAACCTATTTGCAAGGGGGTTATATAGGTTATACCTCTTTCCTTTATGACCTCCACACATTTATAAGGAAAAAAGAAATTAAAATGACAAGGAACAATTAAAGTTAATGGAGTGGCTCTAGTTACACATTTTCAGAGGAAAATCAAAATTATAAATTGTTCTGGCCAACCATTGGGATTTGGAGCACCCAATGATACATGTGTTTAGGCATTAACTGATGAACCTATGGTAAGTCACCATTCATCAAAAGAGGGTTGGTTTTTTTTTTTCCCAGAGCACTGGTTTTTCTCTTCCTCCTTTCTTTTTAAATTGTCATATCAGTATTTAATCTGCAGCACTCTAAATGCTGTAATTTAATGACTGGGATGAGGTCAAAAACTTTGGAATCATTTACACACAGCACACATATGCTTTGAAACCAACAGTGAAAAGCAAGAACAAGCCCTCACTTTTACCCTGTTCCCATCACATATTACTTGCATTAAAAAAAAAGAAAAAAAACCTGACCGCAGTCACGAGACACACAAACTAATTGCAGATCAGCAGAATTCAGTGTTACTCAACGTAATTTAGCAATGGGTTTAAGCAATGCTTGGAAGGTGTGCGGAATTCCCAGGCACACCTCTTCTGAGCCTCTGAGTGCCCAGAGGCACTAACCACCCAACCCTGGGCCATTTGTTCATCTCAGATGTTTGCATGTAAATACAAAGTAAACTCAATGAAATTAATTTAATTAACAGATTCAACTAATGAAGGTTTATAAGAGTCAGCATCTGGCAATTTTTTTTTCCCCTATGTTTCTTGAGCTCTGGACTGCAAATGAGGTATAATCCAGGTTGGCATGGGAGCAAAAATACAGTTTTTAGCAGTTGGATCAAGGAGAAATGGTCTAACCAAAGCTGTAATGGCGTGTTTCACCAGTTAGCCGCTCTCCCTCTCCAGAGGAAGGTGCTTTCCACATTCTCCAGTGTACTTGTGCTCGCTCTTTATAGAGACGAATACTTTTTTATTGCTGTGTGTGTGCAGCTCATAAACCGAGGAGGAGACCGTGTGGCAGGACTGCTCCACAGGCACTCAAGTGCCCAGTGAACAACCCAGGCTCTCCAGGGGTATCACCTACATCCCAGCTTCAAACCCCCAGCTCCAACTGTAGCACAGGGAGCAGTTCCTCTTTACAACAGATCAACCTTTTAGATGGCACTTTGGCCCAGGACCTTTACCCCCACATCAGCATTTACCTTTATCTCCTTTGGTGCATGTCTTGCCATCCTCCTCCCGGATATAGCCTTCGTGACACTCACACCTGTAGCTGCCCATCGTGTTGACACAGATCTGAGAGCACAGCGTCCCATTGCTTGTGGCACACTCGTCGATATCTGGAGAGGAGCAAGAGCTGGAAAATGTGCTAAAGCTGGAGGTTTCAGACCTCCAGTACAATGAAAAACTTCCTTTAAAGGTATCAGGAAATTTTGTGGTTAAATAAATGAGCAATTGCAGCACCGCTGGTGCTTTGGGCTGGAGATTCTGAGCAAACTGCACTATTATTGGTAACACACATGGCATTTTATCGGTGAACGCTGTGTGACCATTTCTTTGCATTGAAAAGCTTCCAAGCAAAGCTCAATCCTGCAAATCATGGCTCCCTGGCACAGCAAACCATGCAGAGCAGGACTATTGGATCAGGAGAGGAGTAGCCACACAAGGACCACATGTGAATGATCAGTCCTGAATTAGATACTGGCCATCTGAATCAAACTCCAAGGATTTATTTTCATAATTAGGCATGTTTATAGTGCTTCAAGGGTTACTGTTAGGATCATGTCCCTTGTCTCAGGCCAAAACCCCAGATATGACTCAAAACCTGCAGAAGGAATTAATAAAGGGAAAATTACATCAGTCCAAGACTTCAAAGTGTTTGGGTGCGTAAGTCTTGTTTTAGGTACTACCTCCTACTAATTTCAGAGGGAATTAGATCTCTTAGTTCTGGGAACCAATCCTTCACATAGTTAAAAACCACATTTATTCAGTAATAGTAAAGAGAATAAGAAAGGTTTCAGATCTAAACTGACTCCTAAAAGACCTGAGGGAGCAGGACAGACCATTAACCAGAGGTGAGCTCAAAATGCACTTCTACCCACCCAGGCAATAAGGCTTCTCCCTGTTCCTGTGCCTCTCCCGATCATAGCGGTACCCCGGGTAGCAAGTGCATAAGACTCGCCCGAAGTTATCTGTGCACTGCTGTTCGCAAGGAGCTTCGGCACAGACATCATAGTCTAGGGAGAGAAAAGTGTGGTTAGGAAAATGCCAAAGGCAGTAGCTGGATGATATTATGACAGGAAATATTTAACCTCTTTGCTAGGTAATAAAGTCAAGTTACATTGTTTTTGAGGGTTGAAGAAAACTAGAAAAAAAACCCATTGAGACATAAGCAAAGAGTTATAGTAAAATCATAATTACTAATCATAGCTTTACAGTAGTTACACTATTTCTTAAAGTTGGACTTTAAGCAAGGGGCACTTTGCCAGTTTGCAGCTTTTAAGAATTCTTCTCACAGAAATATTAAATTACCTAAAAGCATTTTGCTGTTTTCTTCCACAAAATTTTTAGAGCTGACAGCAACATTTCCTAAGCAAAATGCTGTGAAACACTGTGAGGCTAACTGCCAAATCTAGGCAGAAAGTATATCACAAGGGAAAGTTAATTAAAATCACACAGTAATTGTTCAAAGCCAGATATAACCCTTCTAGCAAAGAAAACATTGTTACAGAACCATCATCGCTCTTAATAATAGCAACGTGAAGATTAGGGTATGGAAAGTCGCTGGCCAGGCTTGTCCGTGAAATCCCAGAAGACTATCTGAAGTCTCCATTTGAAACCTGAAGGAGGATGAATCTGTTTCTGATTTCACTGCTACGTAGCAACAGAGCCGCAATCCAGGGAATGGACACCAGAGCAAAAGAGGGTCTGACCAACATCCCTGCCCTGGCATCAGGCTGGTGGCAAAGCTGGGGGACGATGGGCAGCCCCTGGCCGTGGGTGCAAAGGCTTTGCAGCACCATGGGGAACATTTGCTGGGAGAACAAAGGAGCTGAAGCAGCATCTAGTCTCAAAATCAGCTCAAGCAAACCTTGCTGAAAGTTGGGTTTTATGCCAAAACAAGTGGCAGTTTCTGTGATAATTTCAGAGGAATATCATCCAGCACAGAGCATCCATGTGGGTGTCACTGTGACCCTCCAGTGCCTGGTACTGGGAGGGCCACAGCAGAAATATCTTGTCCCTGCTCCAGACCAAACACATCTAAACCTAACTGAAGTGTTTTGACCAAGTTTCCAGCAATGCACTGTGTTTCCATATATACAGTATAAAATAAGTAAACCCCAAACTCATTACTGACTCACACTAATGACTAGCAGACACTCTGGGTATGATGATTTTCCCAAACAATTAAAATGAACTAATAGATGGTAAAGCAAGTGAAACCATATTTGCTGTACAAAGTATATAAAGCACATGTGTAGCACTGAGGCTAAAAGTGACAGTATGCCAAGGTACAGAAAAGCACCAGATGAGACTTAACAAGCTGCTGTGTGTCACACAAGAGCCCATTGGACCAAAAAATACTATTGTAATGGTGCCAAGCATTTCCTCCCTCGTGCTTGTCACCTTTTGAATAGCAGGCATCCTTTCTTTCCGTCTTACTTCACAACTGTGTTGATTTTAACTCTTGAAGTCTGCCCGCAGTGCTGTGTCCTGCAGTGAATGGCAGTGCCAGGATGCCCAGCAGTGACCAGGGTTGAACAGAGCTGAGTCTTGCATGGAAGCATGGAAGAAAAAAGATGGCCTTTGCCTTCAAACATGGTCAGCCTTGGGGCTAGTTTGGGCTTTTTAGGTGATGCTAGGGCTGTAAACTCCCATTACATTTGGCTCTACTAAAGAGCCCCAAACATAAAGCATTAGTGGTGTTTTTCCTGGGCACAGTTGCAATTTTTATTTTCCACTGAATAAAAATCAGATAGAGAACAAACTACTATGGCCAGCACTGCAACAAACATGCCTGCTCCTCAGCCAGCGTGCCCACACAGGAGCTGGATTTGGCCTGTGCCATGTTCAGCCTCTTCAGAACAGAGGCATAACAAGCTCTGTGTCCTTCCTGTGCTTCCATGAACAGATGTGCCCCAACAAAATAATAAAAAACAGTGCTGGAAGGGACCATGTTCCACCACAAGCAGGATTAGTTATGCATAAACTTTTCCTAATAGACATTCACCTAACCTGTACCTAGAAATACCTGAGGGATGGAGATGCCCCACCATGCAGTCTATTCCCAGATGAAACAACCTTGTGGAGACAAGGGTTTTTACTCATATCTAATCTAAACTCCTCTTATAGCCATTTAAGCCCATTATTTGTGTCCTCTTTGTCTTGGCCATGAAGAACAGTTTACTTTCCCCCTTGTAGCAAGTTTTCACATATCTAAAAACTGTTATCATGTCTCCCTTTAGCCTCCTTTTCTCTAGACTAAACAATGCTGGTCCTTTTTAATTGTCTCTCCCATATTTCATGCAACTAGTCTTAAAATATGGTTTTCACATCCACCTTAGCAGAGCTCCATCAAGACCATTGCTTCACTTACTTTCATACAAAACTAGGGAAGAGTCCAGGAGGTGGAAATCTCCTTGTTGCTGCTTCCCACACAGTCAACCCAAATCACACATTGGCTGTGGGCAGGTTCCACGTCACAGAGCTGTGCATCCCCAGAGCTTTGGTCCCAGGTAGCACAGCTCCTTCAGGAAGGTCCTCACAACTGGGATGAAATTGGGCAAAAGCTGGTGCATCCTTCCGCACGCTCTGCAGAACCGAGGATGCAATCACCCTCCCATGTTCAAGCCCCTTGTCTGCCAACTCAGCCTAAAAAATGTGGTTTGAGGATGAATCAAAGCCACATGGTGAGGATCAGGCTGTTGCAGACTTTAGGAAAATAAATAAAATAAAATAAAATAAAATAAAATAATAAAATAAAATAAAATAAAATAAAATAAAACATGTTCAAGCCCCTTGTCTGCCAACCCAGCCTAAAAAATGTGGTTTGAGGATGAATCAAAGCCACATGGTGAGGATCAGGCTGTTGCAGACTTTAGGAAAATAAAAAAAATAAAATAAAATAAAATAAAAAAGCAGAATAACAAATATCTCTATGTATATTTCAGAATGAGAATGCAGCATGGGAAGCTGTATCAAGAAAGTTTCTGAAGCAATATTAGTGAGGAAAGAGCAGATCTGATTAGTATTTGCCTGTCATGCAGTATTTTGCTCTGAATTAATTCACAGCCAAGAAATGTGGATTACAATTAACAAGCCAGTGGTATGGAGGGTGCACTCCATAAGAAGATGTTTCAGACTACATCTGTCCCTACTTTACTCTTGGTGACACCACGAGACAGGTCCTGGTTGGAGCTGTGAGTCTCCAAACCGAAGAAGGAGATAATTTTGGAGAAAATGGTGATGAGCTCCTTTTTTGAGCTCTTTTTTTGTAGCAGGAAGAGATGCTACAGGGGGAATCAGACACACGAAGCAAACTCTCTTGATGTTTCCTGAGGATCATTGCTCCCTGCTCCTGCCACTGAAACCCAGAGCGAGAAGATGAGTCCAAAGGAAATGAAATGCAGAACCTGGGGGCATGTACTCACACTGGACTGCACTGATTTCTGTTGCTTTTCAAGGGCAGGTGAGAAATAACAGGAGAGAAACAAAAAATGGACATGGACAAAGACAAAATACTTTAGGAAA